AGCATGTGATGGAGGTTTGCTGTAACCGGTGATATTTTTAAGTTTTCCACATGTTTGCTGGTTCATTTGTTGAGAACTGATTCCTTATCTTTTCAGAGTAGCTTCTTTTTGCTGCTATGATCTCTCTTGTTAATATGTTTCTGGCCTAACTGTACAGCATTCTATCGCCTTTTCTGTAGGCTTCCTCTTTGGTATGATGTAGCTGCTAAGTTTAGTTGTGAACCAAGGTTTATTGTTACTATATATTGCCAGGTTTCTGGTCGGCACACATAGATCTTCACAAAAACTGATGTATAATGTTACAGTATCTGTGAATTCATCCAAGTCTGCAGAGGTATTTTCTAACATATTCCAATCAGTGCAGTCAAGGAAAGCATGTAGCTTTAGCTTTGCCTTCTCAGTCCACGTCTTTACTGATTTAATTGTTGGTTTCATGGTTTTAAGTCTTTGTCTGTAAGCAGGTACAAGGTGAATCATGCAATGATCAAAGTGAACCACAGCTGCTTGTGGTAAAGATCGATAAGTATCTTTTAATATTGTGTAGCAGTGGTCTAAAGTATTCTGGCCTCTTGTGAGACAATTGACATGCTGAAAGTATTTTGATAGCTCTTTCCTTAAGCAGTCTTTTAGCTACCTTGCTTCCCCCTCCCCTTAAAATGAGGCTAGGGAGGAAAGCCGGGAGAGGGGAATCTAAGGGGGAGGGAAGAAGAGACCAGGCAGATCCCTCTCTGAATAGCCTCCCGCCCAGATTTCAACTGATTTCCTCTCTGATCCTCCGATGAACAGACCCCACCCCTTTTTTTGGACTCTGGACCACTGGGCCTTTATTTTCCCCATTTATTGGGGGAAATTGGATTTTTATTGGTCTTTCCCCACCCCGTGCCAAAAGGAAAGCCAGCTGGGCTTTCCACCTAGAAGTCCCCATACCCTTCCCCCTGCTTTTTGCTCCCTTCCCCCTGCCCCCCCCTCAATTCCACTTTGGGATAGAGGTGTGCGTGCTGGAAACATGTGTTGGGGCAATGTGGGAGCATGCCTTCTGACCCTCGGCCTGCAATCCTCCGCGCTCCTCCAGCCCCGGCTTGCTGAAGGAGGGGGAGCAGCCCTGATGTCTCCGCCTCTGCCTCCCCTGGCCATGGCCTCAGCCATCACTGCCTGGCTTCCTCAAAGGCATGGCGCGTTTCAAAGGCAGCAGCATGCATTGACGGTGTCGAATAGTGTCCCACTGCAAGAGCAGGGCCGGGCCTCTCCACCATCTGACTCACCAATGAGAGTGCTTCTGTTGGGCCAGCCCCCCCCCTTGCCGGGCTTTTGTGCTTGGCTGGGGGAGGGAGCACTTCCCCATGCCACTTGCTGCTTTCTCTTGGCCCCGATGAGGGAGGAGGAAGACCAGGCTTGGGGGATGGCCAATATATATAATATATATTATTATATATAACCATATATAATGGTTATAAATCAGGTTTATACAAAGAGGACCAGACAGGAAGTAGGATACTTAGGATACATAGGAAAGAGAACTAAATGTGACAAATCCAAATCCACCCCCCTTCTTCCACGAAGAATGGCAGATACACGGATCTGACATATATTTTGTCTTTGCTCCCAGAGGTCAGGGTGTACTTGGCATCTATCCTGCAATTTTTCTCTGCAACCAGAGCAAACCTATGGAGTATGTTGGCTTGAGGGAGAAGAACTTGTCCAGGGCCACACAAAGAGCTTTCAGGAATCATAGTGAACTTGAGTTTATATCCTAATCCTGACACTAACCCTACTTTAATCCTAATTCTGCTGAATTATTATTACTATGTGTGGGCAATCTATAGTGGTCAAAATAGGAAGCGCTCTATCAAATCCTGTACATGTTAATAGCAGTGTTCCCCAAGGCAGTGTTTTAGGTCCAACACTCTTCATACTTTATATAAATGACCTTTGTGATCATATTAAAAGCAACTGTGTTTTCTTCGCTGATGATGTTAAACTATTCAACACCACTGACAATGCAACTACCCTTCAAAAGACCTTGACTATGTGTCAAATTGGTCTAACAAGTGGCAACTTCAAATCTCAACCAACAAATGCTCAGTCTTGAACACTGGCAAAAAAAAAAATCAAAACATAAAATACAAATTAGATGGACATGATCTTGTAGATGACCCTCACTCTGTCAAGGACCTTGGAGTACTCCTTTCTAAAGATCTAAGTGCCAGAGCCCACTGTAACAATATTGCCAAAAAGGCATTAAGAGTTGTTAACCTAATCTTGCATAGCTTCTTCTCTGGTAATATTGTACTACTAACTAGAGCATACAAAACATTTGCTAGACCAATTCTTGAATACAGCTCATCTGTCTGGAACCCGCACTGAATATCAGACATAAATACAGTCGAGAGAGAGTCCAGAGATATTTTATGAGAAGAGTCCTCTATTCCTCTAACTGCAATAAAATACCTTATGCCACCAGACTCCAAATTTTGGATTTAGATAACTTAGAACTACGCCAACTTCAGTCTGACCTAAACATGGTACATAAAATTATCTGCCACAATGTCCTTCCTGTCAATGACTACTTCAGCTTCAACCACAACAATACACGAGCAAATAATAGATACAAACTCAAGGTAAACTGCTCCAAACTCGACTGCAGAAAATATGACTTCAGTAACAGAGTGGTCAATGCCTGGAATGCACTACCTGACTCTTTAGTTTCTTCCCCAAACCTCCAAAACTTTAACCTTAAACTGTCTATTGTTGACCTCACCCCATTCCTAAGAGGTCTGTAAGGGGCGTGCATAAGTGCACCAGCGTGCCTGCCATCCCTGTCCTAATATTCCTTTTTACTTACTCTTTTCATGTATTCTGGAATGTGTGGGAGTAGGAACACATGAGAAGCCAAATTTCCAACAGCAATGTTTATTGCAGATAATGATTCAGTAAAACCAACATGCAATTTCCAGCTGATAGCCCCTTTTAAAGGAAAACTATCAGCCTTTAACCAATAACATTAAAATATGTCCCGCACCTGCGTGGCAGAAGAAAAGTCTCTGTTCATGCCTGCATGGACATAACATATTCAAATTATGTTTATACTTTTACCTGTTATCTTATATATGCTTGACAAATAAACTTATGATTATGATTATGATTATAGTCAGATTCACTATCTAGGATTCTTGGAAACTTAATAATTCAAATCCTAACCAAGGATCTTAGTATTATTGAAGCTATGTCTAAGAATATAGGCAGTTCCAAGCAGGATGTGTTTTTTTGTAAAATTAGGAGGTTCCGTTCTTATAAATTCAATATTTCCTGATATTGAAGAAGTCCTTAAGATCTGTGAAGGCTCCAGTCATGACTGGTATAACAGTAGATTTCATTTTCCATAAGCATTCTAATTCAATTGCAGATCCCAATATTTTGTAATTTTTCCCATTGTTATTCTTCAATCCCATAGAATAGCAATTTTAAATGAACCAGGTTTCAAAAGTCCAAGCTCTGGACTGAGACCAGTAGGAAAATGCCACACACATGAGGAAGCAAACTGGGTTTATTCAGCCGGACTCTGGCACACAATGAGGTCATTCAGCAGCAAAACAGCACTCTGTGAAGTCTGTTAGTAAGTCTGTTAGATGCAAAGTCAGTGCTGGGAGTGCCCTTTAGGCAAGCCACACCTCTTCCCTGTGCTGGTCTCACCCCGGTGGTGGTCATACACCGAAGCTCCGGCCCAGCTGATTGTCAGGCCAGGACAGCTGTTCGCGGGTTCTTCATGCGGCCATGCCTCCACGCCTCACAGCTGAGCCTTGTTGGTACCTCTGCTGCTGCTGAGGCCGCAGAGTTGATCGTGGCTAGGAGCAGCCATCCACGCCACGCCTCCCTGCCGCACAACTGGGCCGTCTATCACTGCTGCAGACATCCCAAAATCCCCCCGTCACCGGTGCTCCGTAGTTGCCACAATGGCAGTCCCAACACCCCCCTTCATCTGTGCTCCTTCCTACCCTGCTTTGGCAAGCCAGGCCTTTGGGCTTGACATCAGGTATTCTTTTTAATAACTATATCAAGCATGTTATAGTTCATCTGTTTGGATCTTAAAGACCTGCTCTTTTTCAAAATCCTTCTCAACTTGATGGCCCCAGTAATTTTTATTACATTTAAATCCAAACTATTATCATAGATAACATACATTTGGGAGGGAGAATTGCGATAGAATAAAATGGTATATAAAAAGATATGGTTGGATTGTTCTGTATTGGTATTTCATTTATTTCAGTACTAATACAAAAGAGAATGTGTAGAACACATATTATGGCAATTATATAGCATAAGAAAGACTTAAAATAACAACTAAGAAGTGTTCTGAAATAATCTACCAAACACAAATACATAAATTCTAATTCAAGTGTTAACAGGCAACTTGAAATCTAAAAAAAAGGTTCTTGCTTGATATATTATAGCTTGCTAATAATTTTTTTAAAATCAGAAATTGGCAGATCATTACATTTGTAGATCGATTGTAGAATATGTTACTTAACATGATATATGATTAATATATGGCAATTGCAGGCAAGCTTGGAAAAAGCTTACATCAAAAATTTTTGAGTGCTCCTATCAATCAGTGTATAAAAATACTGAGATGGCATGAGCCATTGATTTGACTTTGTTGAAAGTAGCCTCCTATCTTCCTAAAACATAGGCTTCAGAAGAGAATAACAAAGACACTATTATAGAAAGTTATTATAGAAACAATTATGTAATTAAATAAATGTATAAAAAATGTCATTTTGGAATCTTTCAAGATGTAAAGTGGACATTGATATGATTAGTCCAATCCTCCCCAGCAGGATATTCTAATTTGCTGGTAAATGAATAAACCATATAAACTTCTATGCCTAGATACAAGAACCCAAACCAAATTGCTATATGACAGTATCCCACCCCAAAACATGTGCAAAGCCTTCAAATATGGTCTATAAATGTTGTTTTAATTATATTCATATGAGACTTACCATAGTTTCATCTTGTATCACAGATGGTATGACTGACCATGAGAGACTGGCACTCGCTGTTGTTAATGAACCAAGGGCACTATTTTTCAGTATCTCTGCAGAATTTGACTTTGATCCATGCCATACTAAGATATTTTCTAAAACAAGAAAAAGTAATCTGCAATATCTTTCCTGCAGAATGCATTCCATCTATTCAATATGAGAACAGGGGCAACAACATAGACAGCCTAGATAAGAAATATCTCTTTCAGCATATTTCTATCTGGATACATCCCTGTGGAACAGCAGATCTAGCCAGGAAGTTTTAAGAGACATAAGGAAAATGTAATTTTAAAAGTTCTTGCTGCTGCCCTTTATAAGAACCTATGCATGTATATATTTTGAACCAAACCAATGCCATGTTTAATTACTGCCAAGAGCTTTTAGTATAAAAATGATACCCAGCATGATACAGAATATAACTAGGAATACACAATGTGGTTCTGCTAAGGACAGAAAAACGGAGGAGTTCATGGGAAGAGCACTTCACTGATCAGTTATTTTTTCACACACCTTGTTTTGCGCATGGCTATAAAAGTATTACAAACCAGCCTCTTGCCATGGACATGCCATATAGAACACAGCATACATACCTGTTGTCTGTCACAAGGACATTACATGTTTATTCCTGTAAGTATTTACCTTTAATAAAGCTTGTGATGGTCACATTGGGTCCTCTTTCTTGGACATCTCTCATAGATATAGTCTACTGCAGGGCTTTTGGGCATTGAATAGCAAGGGTAGGCTTTGATGAATCAAAAGCAGGAACCCAGAGGAAATCGGACAAGAACCTAGACAAAAGTTTCTCCTGCCATTTCTAACCCATTTTATTTTTCTTTTGTCACAGCAGTCATCAAGATGTCTCTGTATTTATCTACTTTTCTGAATATCAGTTGTAATGATAATTTTCCAATAAAAAATATTTCATACAATTGGTTCTTTTGAAATTAATAGAGAAAACTCCATTTCTGACTGGTACGTGGCATTTAGCAGTTTAGTATTTTTACCCAGGCTAACACAGATGCTCTGATACTTTATTTCAGTGTGCTATTAATCATCTAAAACTGAATCTGAATATATTTATTTACTTTAACAATTATCTTAACATTTCTTTACAAAAATCTGCTGGCACCTGAGATTTCTTCAGTCATTTGGCGTTCATAGCAGCAACCACAGCCAAGAATCTGCTTCAAATAGAACAATATAGGCATAGATGAACAAACTGTCTCTTAAGTTAAAAATAAAGTTGAAGCAGTTTCTACTCCAAGGAGAAGACTATTCGATTGTACAGAATTCTGCAAGTGCCATTTGTTCATACTGCACTGATTGTGATGAAACAAGGAAAGAATTCCAGAAGCTGTGCTTTTTTGCTTCCCCAGTGCTTTGTGCCTTAAAACATTCCAATGGCTTGAAACCAAAACAAACACCACTAGATCTTTGTGCCTTTACTTTAAATGATCTACAGCAGGGGTCCCCAACCTTTTGGAACTCAGGGACCACCAAGTTCATAATTTTAAATCCCACAGACCACTAATATGAATCCAGCGCACCACTTGCTGAAGCACCTGGACTCCCAGTGACGGGATGGGGTTCTTCAGGCACTTTCCCTCCTCTCTCTCTCTCTCTCCTTCTCTCGTTTTCTCTCTCTCTCTCTCCCCCTCTCTCTTTCTCTCTCTCCCACTCATTCTCTCTCTGATTCCCTGTCTCTTTCTTTTTCTTTCTCTTTCATTCTGTCTCTTTCTCTCTCTCATTCTCTGTCTCTCTCATTCTCTCTCTGATTTTCTCCGTCTCTTTCTCTCTTTCATTCTGTCTCTCTCTCATTCTGATTCTCTCTCTGTCTCTGCCTCTCTCTCATTCTTTCAGCATCTTTCTCTGTCTCTCTTTCTCTCCCCCTCTCTCATTCTCTCTTTTTCTCTGTCCCCCCCTCCCCTTTTCTCATTCTCTCTCTTTCATTCTCTCTCTCATTCTCTCTCTCCCCCACTCTCTTTCTCTCTCTCTCATTCTCTCTCCCTCTCTCTCCCCCTCTTACTCATTCTCTCTCTCTTTCATTCTCTCTGTGTCTCTTTCTCTCTCTCTCTCTCTCTCATTCTCTCTCTCTTGTTCTGATTCTCTCTCTAATTCTCTCATTCTCTTTCCCTCTCTCATCTCATGGGCCAGCCAGTGTCTTGAGGCTGAGAGGAAGTCAAGCATCTCCCCAAGAGACCGAGGTGTGCGGAGCACCAACAAGGGCCAGAAAAAACGGCTGCAAGATACAGCAAGAAATGAAACTTCGTTCCCACTCTGGAATATGGAGTGAATTTCCATCCCCACTTCCTTTCCCTTGCTAGGCAAGGAGTGACTGGGAAGGGAGGGTAAGGGGCGGGGACAGCCACTGGTGGGTTCAGCTGACAGGAAGCTACAGCAAGGGGAAGAAACAGCCCGGGGTTGCCGCCACCCATTGTTTTGGCCCGCCTGCATCGCCACTCCCCCCTTGCACCATTAGCTCATTCCGGCCAGCGAGGGCTGCGCTGCAAAGTTGCAAATTGCACAAACCTCCCTCTACAGTGGAGATTTACAGCCCCACTATGAGCTGCCTGGCCAGTCCCATATTCCAGACCTCTAATCACAGGACTGGCCATTGCTCATCCCAGAGCAACTTCTCCACCCTGGTGCACCGCGGACCACCACTGATCTACAGAGTCAATGCAGTTGGCTCCAGAGTTCCAGGTCAACAGTGCGAAAAAACCTCCAAGTCAAAATAGTTCAAAGCATACATAGGCAAGAAAGAAATATCAACACAGCTTGAAAACAAAGTTTTCATTTAAAATGACACGGCTGCTAAATCTAAGAATATGATTCAACACTACTGTAGGAGTTCAACCAGGTAGGTTTGACATCTGAGTATTTATACTTATAGAATCAAAATTTCATATGCTGAGCCAAACCATACCAGTATGATAAACCAAGTAAGAAATACTTACATACTAAGGCAGTGATGGCGAACCTTTTTGGCACTAAGTGCCCAAACCGGAACATGTGCGTGCGCATGTACATGCGCAATGGACCCCTGAAAACTCAAAGAACAGCTGGCTGGTGCAGTTTCTAGAGCCTCTCTAGGAGTCTCTAGGAGCCTCTCTAGGAGTCTCTGGAGGCTGGGGACAGCAAAAAACGTCACTTCCTGTCCCACCGGGAGTCGGGAAATGGGCCCTTTCAGCCTCCGTAGGGCCTCCAAGGGAATGGGAAAGCTGTTTTCGCCCTTCCCAGATAAATAGAGAGGATCTGGACCCAGGTAAGAAAGAAAAACGGGCCTTCCCCACCCACCCCCAGGCCTTCCAGAGGCAGGAAACAGCTGTTTCCCTACTTCTGGTGGGCCCAGAAAGCCCGAAAATCAGCTGGCTGGCACGTGCATGCGCCCCAGAGCTGAGCTGGTGTGCCCACTAATATGGCTCTGTGTGCCACCTGTGGCACACGTGCCATAGGTTCGCCATCACGGGTAGAGGGTTTCTTGCCTGAGCAGGGGGTTGGACTAGAAGATCTCCAAAGTCCCTTCCAACTGTGTAATTCTGACATGATTGCACCCATGCGCCCTCTCCTGGCCTATTGCTCCCAAAACTCTTTGTGGTTTGCAGAGGAGCTGAGGGTGCTGAAAAAGCCCAAAAGATTGCTAGAGTGCCGCTGGAAGAAAACTCAGAACAAATCCAACTGGACACAAGTCACAGCCACTATTAAGGCGTACATCATGATGGCAAGAGCAGTGAAACATAACTATTTCTCCAGTCTCGTTGCATCCACAGAATGTCACCTGACAGCCCTTCCTTGGGAAGGAAAGCTTCCTACCTTGGGAAGGAAAGCTCAGACAAACACTCACAGAACTGTCAAACACCTGACAGATAAAATTGTTCGGATCTGTTTAGTTTGACATCACACATGGAGCAGGTCCATTAGAGATATCCAGGGAACAGATTTGTCCAGTTTTCCAGGGACAGTTTGATCCTGTTGGACCTGAGGTAGTAGATAGGTTCCTTGCAGCTGTCCTTATTAGATCCTTTGTCCCTTCTGTCTGGTAAAAGCCTTCAGAGAGCAACTGACAAGTGAGTCCAGCAGTGATTACAACATCATTGCAGGAGGGCTGTTCCTGGCATAATTTAAGGATGCCTTGGTCCACCCCCTCCTCAAGAAACCATCATTAGGCCCAAGCTGCCTGCACAATTTCCCATCCAGTTTATCACCTCTCCTTTTTTAGGAAAGATGGTGTAAAAGTTATTGAATTGCAGCTCCAGAGGGCCCTAGATGAAATAGATAATGTGGACACACTTAAACTGGGTTTCAGGCCTGGTTATAGGACAGAAATTGCATTGATTGTGCTTGTGAATGATCTCTGATGAGAGTGGGATAAGGATCATGATCCTCTCTTGCTCTCCTTGACCTCTTGGCAGTTTTTGATACTATCAACCATGGTATCCTTTTGGGCTAGCTGTGGTGTTTAGGGCTAGTGGCACAGTACTGCACTGGTTTGGCTACTTTCTCCAAGGCCAGTCCCAATCAGTGTTGATAGAGAACAAAAGGTCCAGCCCATGGCTCTCCTCTGTGGGGTGCTATAGGGCTTGGTATTCTCTCCACTCCTTTTTAACATCTGTGTGAAATCAGTGGGTGAGATCATCAGACACTATGGGATGAGATAGTAATAGTATGCTGAGGACATCCTGGTGATCCAAATATGCTGTGGCTATCCTTTCTCAGTGTCTGGGGTCTTGATGGAGGACAACAACCATCAGCTGAATCCTGACAAGACGGAATGACTGTGGGTGCAAGATACCTCAGGATCCAGTGGTTTATCATATTTAATTCTGGATATGGTTGTACTATCCCAGTGCACAACCTGGAGTTTTCCTGAACTCATGACTCCTGCTCATAGAGCAGTTGGCAGCCGTGGCTAGGAGGATCTTTGCACAACTTTATGGGCAAAGGCCCTCCTTTGCATATAAAGGTTGCACCCTTAACTGGATCATAAGATGCTGAGCACAATGACTCATACCCATCTCTCAGTTGGACTACTGCAATGTAATCTAATGGGGTTACCCTTGAAGAATATTCAGAAGCTACAGCTGTACAGAATGCA